CCCTGCTGAACATGTAATTTGGTACGGTTGAGTGTACTGTCTGCAAACCTCCACCGCTTAAGTTACTATATTGGGAGATTAATCTGGAACATTCAACTAAATTTTCAGCAAAAGCTCTGCTTTTTCTCCTTGTATTATCAAAGTAGTGGCTACCTGTGATTCAACTTAAAAAAATTGCGGGGAATATGTAGGTGTCCCACACCGAGTCACCTCGACCAAAGTGCATTTAACTAGAACAAGTAAATTTAGCACTTATCCAAATGCATCGTTTCAAGGCATATCGTTGTGAAAGAGAGGTCTTATACTGCACATTGCTGAACGTCATCCAAGTAATGTGGCCTTTCATGGAGTTTGTGGAACAGTTTTCAGAAATGTTTTGCTCAGCGTAGTGATGATTTTAGGTTTCCCAAGGCTGTGAATGTTGGGTTGCTGGAATCTTTCGAATCACTATAATTTGAACTCTAATTATTCAACGCCCCAGCACACACCCTCCGATGCGAAAAATTTGTTGACCTGAACAAATTCTCAATCTCGGATACAATTTCCCAATGCTCCGAAGTTGTTTGTCTTGACATGTCTTGACCTTTAACATTGAACAATACTTTTTTTTAAACTGTCTTGGGTTCTCTCTAAGCATACATTCAACCTAAACTTCCCGTAACTTGATTATCGTAGCTTATCAACTTCCACCGGAAGTTTCTTAAAAAGCACATCCGAAAAAAAACAGGGAAGTTCTTATCACTATAACGAAACTTTTGAAGTCAAAGTGTGGGAAGTCTCAGGCCAGTACCACAACGTTTATTATGCAATGTGCATGAAATTCATTGTGAGCGACGCGTTAAAATGTCAGATACATTTATACATTTTCAAGACTCCATAGATAACACAAATGTTGGCTGTCACGAATGTCCTTTTATGCCAAATATCACCTAAGTGTTAATGAGTCTCCATCGGTTTTGAAATTTACTCAAAGTTCCTCATTTTTTCAAATAGTTTATCTTTGATGATAGTCGTTGAATCACGAAATATTGTAATCTGCGCTTGATATAATCAGCATTTACTTTGATGCAGTTGAGTGATTTCATTGATGAACGTTTTACTTAAAAATTAGTTTCTTTAAAGAACTAACTGTTTAAGATTTGAAGCGTTTTATTTGGGCTTAGACACTGCCCCAAAGTGAACATGCTAGTTCTATCCTATAAGTAATTAAAACGTTTTTTACTCCATCCAAAAATTTGTCACGAGCAGGTTCCCCCTCAGCAAGGAATAATAAGCTCAGGGTTGAATGTTTTGTGTATACATTTTAGATTTGGAGAACCCAGACAAATTATCTTAGAAATAATGGTGTTTAAATACAACACGGACCAAGGGCATCTGAAAAATACGCAATTTTACCCATTTCTCACGTTCGTGGTTGGTGACGAATGCCCGTCTACTGATGAAGGATTGTATAGTCTCGTTTGAACGGCCGTGGTGTGGCTATGAACAAAAATACCTATCCCGAAAAACCCCAAGATTGTAGAGTCAATGCGAGGAAAAAGATGGACCCATTCGCCAAGTGCACTGAATCTTTCGTAGGACGCATCCCTAGAAGCATCATGATCAACAAAGCAGACGGTTTCCCTGACCTGTGCGACTTAAGCAACCTGGACTCTATCGACAATAGTAGTGCCTCGACAAGTCAGGTAGTGCTTCCAACTAGTTTATTCTGCTTTACCTGTTGCGATCGTGGCGTATCTTCTGTCCGGATTATCCCGATACGGCTCGTGGAACGGTGGGTCCAGTATATCCGGAATCGGTTTGTGCCCCCAATATTTCCAATGTGGACGCTCAGGCTTCTGACTGTGTCGATGCTTTGAACCTGACCAATCGATGCCATTCCTTTTGAACTCCGGAGTTTTATCGACTGATTTAAAGGCGTTACGAAATTCCCGGTAAATTCTTCCTCCTATGAAAGAAAGAGAACCAGTAAGAAGGCCCACAGTATCCCAAACTTTCTCCAGGAAATCCTAAATATGTCATAAAACGCCACAACTTTTATGACTCATGCACGGATTATGGTTCTTGCCTTTCATTTTTGTAATAAATAGTCTAAATACATCCAGCTACATGGGCTATCTGAATCAGCCTTCGAAATTATTGCTTATGGGCGGGTTTTGTCTTAAATTTGTAAGCCCAACAAATGTATATTTCTTACGACGCAGTTGCATGTTGGCCCATTTTAAAAGAAGCAAACGGACAGAGACCTACTCTTGAGTCAAACCCCAAGTTTAGCCGCAGTTTTATCAGCCGAGTGAATAATGCCAAACCCATACTGTTCTTAAAATTTAAACAGTAATTTTCTTAAACATACACTTGACTTAAATGCTTAACAATGTCTTCCCCTTTCAGCCGAAGATATGGAACGCCTATTTGGCTCCTTTTATGATGACAGTTTTCCAATTTCCAAATTGAACATAACCGAACAGACCTCATGCTGGTGATATTTTTGTAAAATCTGACTCAACTGCTATTACATGGCGGCTAATTTGCTTCTCTGACTCAGTCCAACTCATCAATCCAGTTTACTGCGGATATTATATCAAAGACAAGTTTCATTTATTTGACACCGTATTAACTCAAAGGCCGTACAGCACCCTACAAAGACATACGCACCGAAACATGAAGTGGTAGGATCAGGACACAAGCTTCTACAGCTTTGCGAATTCGCAGTCTAAAAGAAACCGAACGAAGTATTTGGTGAACAAGGTCGGTAAATTATACCCGGATGACAAGACTAAAGGCAAACTGAATTTTGCTTCCAGAGCAGTAAAAGAAAACTGGTACCTGGTATACTCACACTGAGAAGTTCAATACGAAACAATGCCAAAGAAAGTTTGAAACTTTTGGGTTTCAAAATGGTCTATCCTTGTCTCAGGAATCTCAGAGCATTTGCAACGATTGCAATAAAACCTGGCTTTCCCCTATAAGTGAAATTATTCGCCTCGTGGTAATCACCTTCTCGTCGAATGTTATTTCCTGAGTGCCACCAAATCGCATTCAGGTTATCCGTCAAAATGGACTCGATACGGCCTAGGCCACCTCAAAATTACGTTAACCTTGCTTGGGTTCTCAAAAGCGTTAATTCAAAGCTTTAATGTGGCATCAGCCAACCAGCCACTTGTTAGCGAAAAGTTCCAAACATCTACTTTAACTAAAGCCATTATTTATCAGTTTATAAGTTAATTATTATTGAATCTATAGTTTGATAGCATCAAACAAGCATTACTGTAGTTTTTTACACAGGTCATTGCGACATGGCTCATAGGATTCGGCTACGGTGCCTTTTATCACCCAAAGAATAAACTCAGATGGGATAGTCGCTTCGGATAATCCTTCTCTAATATTATCAGTATTTTTTACTATTCTTTTCATTCCTCGCGCTTTTTGCAAGGGGAACATTGCTGAAAGAAGTCCTACAAGAATCGCCTGTCATTTCGAAATGGCTTCGCCCGTAAGATTTGATTCATACAACCGTTTCTAATGCGTTTTGCCTCAAACCACCCTTCTCACATTTTGGAAATCATTTTTGGTAACCCTAACGTAACACTTGGCCCTTATTCATAAAGTTGTTTTCTTTTTATGCAACCTTCTGAATGTTTTGTAATGGTATCTGCTAATTGCTTTGGATTAGCTAGGGCAGGGGAGTTTTCATGTGGATTAACATTATTAGATTTGCCTACATCCTTGCTGATAGCATTCTTTCTGTGTGAGGACGGCGTGGATCACTTACAATTTGTTGTGTAAAACAACCTGAATATTCAATAGCAGTTAGATTTATGGTTGAGATTTTCGGAAGCCAATCAAGTTTGTTGAAACTGACAGGTTCGTGATTGCCCCTTATGAATACCCGAGGTTTTCTCCACCCACTGACAAAGCGAATGCAGAAAAGATCCCCTATACTTCCTGAAATATCACCCGCCCATATGGATAATTAATATAGCTTTCGCTCTGCTGATCGGCTAAAGACAACTTTCGGACGATTTAATGTGTAGCAACTTCTAGATTCTTCCATCACCTCATGGTGTTCAACAGTGTTTTCCCGTGAACTTCATAAAACATGATATTATAATTTGTATGAAACTTTTTGACATTTTTCATTTGATCAGTTTGAGATTAGTTCGACATATTCTACCAGCACAGGTGTGCAAGAACACTTTACTAATAAATTTTTCTGTTAGTTATAGGTGGAGTGTCCCGGTCTCTCTCATGCACACAGCCGATTCGCTTTAGTCGATGATAGTTGTTACATTTCTGGCGGCCTTCGTTGCTTGGGTTGCCTCACACTCACTGGAGTGGTTCCCCTTTTTATTGCCTTCACTTTATGGTCAATGGGAAATAATTTGGCTTAGATACACCCAATAATTCATGCGGGTGTGCAAAAACTGTGTTCTTATCCGGTAGATAAATCGTGTCTTAATCAAAACCCGAATGCGGGTGGGTCGATAAGCCTGCGCTAGAGTGCGATCGATACAAAAACCATGTATCAAACCAAATAGAGAATGGGAAACAGGCAGTGGCATGTGCAACTCTACATTACCAATAGATGCACTAGGCCGAAATCAAATTTTTATTGACAGTTGCGGAAAACATGTAGGAAATTTTTCGTTCATTTGGTCTGTTGTTGAACTCGACTGTTCCGATATAGCATTCAGTTTTTTAAAAGTACATATTTTACGACCACCCGACGAATACAAATGTGTTCTGTCCTAGCAACGCGTTCAACACGAACCCTAGGATCAACTATCCAACAGCACTGTACTAACCAGCCTGGGGTTGCTGCAATACATCATTCGATTCATTTGTGTCCGCGTAAACCGTTCCCCACGGCGTTACAAGCAAAATACCGATAAGCCGTCAAACGATTTGTTAAGACTAGTGCTTGGAGTTGGTTAAGCTCAGTGGTTTGATATAGGAACATACTATGACACCGACAACAACAGAAATTGGGGATTGATATCGGTCTATATTGTTCGGGGACTGATCTGCAAGTCAATCTATGCTGTTTGAACAAGGATAACGAGACAAACATACATCAGATCGTCGGTCTAGGTAGAAACTTTCTGATTCAATATGCATTATAGAAGATCAGACTGTAAATAGGCTTCGCAGTAGAAGGACACCGTGGGTCAATACAAAACTGTCCTCCATCTGCGACTGGACACGTTTTTGGACCTTGTGGGTCCAGTCCAAAATTATGCAGGGAAATAAGGAAGTGCATTGCGATTAACTGGAATTTCACCGTGATTTTCAGATGGCCAGTATCAGTCCCAGAAAAAATGAACCCAATTTTTCTGAGTTCTATATCACAGGAGTGAAATGTAGCTTCCTTAGACCATGTGTGGAGGAACATGACGTTTTTAATTCCATTCTGACGTTGTTGTTTACCGCTGCTCATTTATGGCCTAGCATCAATAAGCCCAGTTTCGTTTTATAGTGAAAAAATGGCTTAGTGATTGCGAATGTCATAGGGAAACTTGTGATGATGTCAATGGCACTGGTGCTGTGGATATTTTGGTAACGATTCTATTATGCAATGAGAAGCAAAAGGTCGCGAGGGAGCGCATAAACTGTTCCAACTGAACTACCACCAGTTTTGCATATAATGAACAAACGAGCAGCTACTTATCTTCTAGGTTTATAGCTTATATAGGTTCACGGTTAGTCATTGTTGGTAACCTTTCCGCTCAAGGCTCCTTCAAAACACTCCTGTGTAAATTTTTGAAAATATCCGTGATATCCGTTAATGACCACCTAAGGTAAACGGACAACGATGCTTGAGAAACTCAGCCCAGATATGAGGTAAAACTGGACAACAGTGGTTATGAAAGGATGCTTTTTCTCATCTTTCTGATGTCAGAATCAGTCCACTTAGTGCATGGGCTTGCAATGGTATCTTGGACGTTTCACATCTGAAGCAGTTTATATCCGTTTGAAATGTTTGGATATTCATTGACCATGAGGCTTAAGGAGGGGAATCTCGCGTCCTGATATGGTATTGAACCCGGCACTTTCAGTTACTCCAATTCGTGTATCCTACTGAGACCGAATACCGTCTCGTGATCTTTGGGAGAGCTTGCTCCCTTGAAAGACCTTCCCCCCAAAAGCAGAGACAACGGACAATATACCTTACGGAATTTTCGCATTTCCTGTATTCTCTAGGAAATTAAAATATGCAAGTCATATACATGAATGCAAGGTGGAGTATATGGTACAACTCTCCTTTTTCTTGTACATTTATCGGCTGCGGATAGTAACACTGATATGAAGGCATCTTGTAATACACAATGCGTTTGCGGCATAAAACGGGTTTAGCTTTCTCCTCCTAATAGTAACACCCGAGTCCCGAAAAGGAGGCCATTCACAGGAAGAAAACTTACTATTCCTTCGAAATTCGGTCACCAACAGTTCATGCAGTTTATTCTGAATTAATGTGAACGCTTCATCAGGAAATGGAACTGAAGTTCAAAACCAACCGATTGTTACAAAATGCTAGGTTGTTACCTACCTATTTGTATAAAACAGCGTGCTAGGAGGGGGTAGCAAATTCATCAGACGTAGAAAACATACTCCAACTTGTTGTATACAAGTGAGAATAACTGCGAGGTTTTCCAACAGTGGGCGGCATAGAGAGTATGTAATACGGCATTGGTGTAGGACCATCAGGGTGAATAAAGAGAAAAGACTTGATTGTTCCATATTCTGCATCCCTGAGTTTAAATTTCGTGAAACTTCTTGGGACGCCTGTACATACACATTCCAGAAAGTCCGCGTGATAAGGTGCTCCCAGTGCATTTCTTCAACAGGGTTCAAATGGAGTGGACATCTGGACACTCAGTGACAAATCGAACGAATTCTCAAACTATGCAGAACTTTTTGCACCATGTACTTGCATGGTTTTGTCTATCCGAGTTTGAATCTGTCTAAAACCCAAATGTCTGAAATAATTTCGCCAGTGCCACAATGATTAAAAATACCTTTGTGTTTCTTTTGATGAATAGCTTATAGTTTTGTTGAACGAACAACATAAATTAATCGGATGGTGAAATTTTACCTTCAGTATCCTCGAAGTTCGATAGCGACCACGCCTTTTCAACAGCCCCTGGGGATTGATCCTGCTCTCCGTCTTCGCCACTCGATGGGGACAGTAGTATAGGCTCAGCGAACGTCTTGTTGTCTGCCGATTGAATGTCCTTTGCCATTTCTTCTATCTGCTTTGTTGTATAGGTAGCCTTTATGGGATTGAGGGTAGTATCACCATGCGCATGTGGCAGTAGGCTGTGGAACGGTTTGATGGGTAACGTATCGCATCGGAGAGTTTTCTCGGAATGGAACTCCCTGGTATCGTTTTTGAGGTCGTTGGGAAGGTTCTTATCAGACTGTCCTTTCTGAATCAGTTTGGTAACAAGCCAACTGGGAATCCACACTGCAGCATTGGGCCTTACTTTATACAGCCGTTCCGCGGGAAACTTTTCGTCATCTACGAAGGTGTGAACATTTGAGAAGAACCTGACGGAAAGACACGCCTCATTTTTGAGCAAATCTGGAAAAAGATGAACGAAAGATGCTTCTTATGTTGGTACTTTTAGTCGCTGCATGTGAAAATTTCCTTTCCTGAATTTCCGAGCAAAATTCTCCGCAAATAATAATAATAACATTTAAGACGCTACGTATTTTAGCTTGATGGGTACTGTAACCATTTTTCTGATTTTTTTGCCACAATGGTAAATGTTCATGTATTGAAATAAAAACTTGAGCGGGCCATTTCAGCAACCTAATAACCTATCCACTAGGAACTCGTCCAAAGATTCAAACTTTAAATGGCTAAAACTTTTATGTAACCCCGAAAAAGAACAGAACAGTTTCCTGTATATTCAGCTATCCAGATTATTACGAGAACTCCATGTCCGAGTACTAGTCAGTCGCATTGTTGAATGGTCACACAAGACGAGGAGTTAAATCACCGATCACTACCCAGCAGGCCACGGGTTCGAGAAACGCACGGATGAGGAGTTCCAGTAAGAAAAAAACAGCTATACAGAGCTTCTAAACATTCCGTCCTTACACGAAGCAATCCCGTTATGACAAAAATCCGCCGAAATTGCACAGTACGGATATGCATATTGAGCAAAACAGATACGCTTTGCACCCCTTCAAAATATGGCCACCAATCCACAATTAGTTCTACTCAAAATAGAGCAAGCATTGGGAATCACAGAGCAAAAGCGGATTGCACAGACTCAGCGCGACTCAGCTATCGCACTCCGCGCACCCGAATCAAACCACCAAATCGAATTTGATCGCGCACGTATACTGAGGCAGGGTTCAGGTCATAGGTGGAACAGACGAAGCATCGGAGGTCAACAAGCATCAAAACTAGATAAAATGTAGTGATGAAGAAGGCTATCTGTCTCTCTGATCTGAAATCACGACACATCCCGTCAGACACTGGAGTCAGAACTCCGGACCACGGAACATCACGCCGAGCCACTTCCCAGTCAGGGCACACACCGATAGACTAACACCTACAAGCTGGTCGCGTTTAGCTGACAGTAGATGTCACGAACACATCAATCAGATGACACGATTGGGAGCTCAAACAACGCTTAAATTTACACATGTTCGAGTGATTACGAAAATCCCAAACTCATTCCCCTGCGCTCTTTTCTATGTCAAACTTTTCAAATATATTACGGTTTTTTAAGGGCGGGGGCAGAAACTGCTGAATTTAGGTCAACTGCGTACAAGACTTCGCTTGGGACGTAAACCATCGAAACTTTTCCGGTAGTTTAATTCCTCGATGACGGGTGTAGTGAAAGAAATTCCTGCCTGCGAAATTGTTTGGCTGCCGAGTGTGTGTTGCGGAATTTCATTGGGGGTGGAGTAGCATATGTGAAAACTTGTACCGTAACCCAAAGTAACTTTCTCATCGTTGATGTGGAACAGACTGTTGTGGTCCTGCAGTTTTGGAGGCTTCTACTAGACATTTGTCTACATTCGTCCGTGCAGCTTGCTTAGTCTCTCCTGCTTTGATATGCAGCAAAATGTCCACTAATATAACGACAATGGTAACTGATGAAACAACTTGTCACGAATTTAACCACTTCATGTATCGCATCATCTTTTTCTACGACACTTTCATGAACTCTGTTTTGGGTTGTAATGGAAAGTGATTTTCATTTTGCTGGAGGACAGTAACATCTGAACAGAAGAACAATTATTGTTATCTCTTGTTCTTGAGTAAATCGCCACGCGCTCGCACACTGTGCATATGCATCGATAACCTCTAATCAATATGCGTCCGGTTTTTAGGTCAACTTTAAGGACAACTTCCTGCTATTTAATCAACAAAACAAACAAAATCCGCGGTTTAAGTAGTACGGGTATGCGAGTTAACTTCCAATCAAAAACAGTACTCTACATTCTTCCCACCCTCAGCGAAAATAAACTGGAGACGGGTGCTACAGATTGTACAGTATGTTCGCGAATCTACAAAAGAACACAATCTGGTGGCAAATTTCACTCATTTGCAAATTACATTGCCGTTAACGATTGACTAAATTCAATCCCTCGGTTATGTTTTTCTTCAACTAAATGTTCTACGCAGAGTTTGTCTTGTGTTTCAGTTCCTATGGTATAAGAGCTATCGCAGTGCATTTTCTTGGTATGTTTGACTGCTTACAAACCTGCTGAAGTATGTGAAGAACACCATTAGCGAGAAATTTAGTTGTCTGTTGTTGACACCACCGTAAATTTCAAGTGACTGGATTCTTTCATGCTCGTGAAAGTTGACGTTCTGCTAGAACATGTGGTTGGTGCAATCCCAGGAAAAAGGCCAAAATGCTGATTTCTAAGAAAGGCAAAACCAATGAAGGGACGTTGAAGTCTTTAGCAGGCTTATAAGTAATGTATTGTGTCAAGTTACTCTGGTCCTCTGTTGCTTTGCCATTGCATTAGTATCCTGAGTTTGGCTGCCGCTATTATGGGACTTGAATTGTGACAAGCCATTCAGCCGGAACTTTTGGGTTGTTCAACTCTTGAGCACTACCAACTTGCAACTAATTTGGAAACAGGATCGTCATCAAATAGGTGGCTATTCATTCGCTCATGAAGTATGTGTTTAAAATCACGTATTTCACTTTCGAGAAGGAACTGTTCAGTTTAACTTGGAATTTAACTGATCAGCACGTTATAACAATAGTATAACGTTTTAAAAATATGGACTTGAATTTCTAAACACGATTTTTTTGCCCTTATGGGTTTTGTTGCATATGCATACATGTATATTAATCCACAAATTTTAGTACCGTATGAGATTGTGACTTTAGCAACATGAATAACCAGCCAACGGTTTTTCCCGAGTCAGTCTGCTTAGAAAACACCAGACGTGATAGGTTTTTCGAGTGATTAAAACTGCAATATAACTGACTAACCGTTCCGCGAATTTCGGGGTCACGTATGATCTGGCATTAATCATCCTCACCTTGATGCCAATTCTGCTATGGCAGGGTCATAGATTTTACTTGAAATTTACGGGGACAGGCCACAGGTTGTCGGGAAAAAGCTTACTACCAACCGGTGTTCATTATGTTTCGAGTCAATGAAGCGGTTCAAACTTTGGTTCCCTTGGGTCCAGACCATCCCAAACTGTTTCAGTGCATTTTTTTAGATAGAGCACTTTCGCCTGAATTCTCTCTACACGTTCATTTTTCGAATAAAATGATTCTGACAGTCAGTGAAAATATCACCGAAAAAATTTCCTCGTGAATCAAAAATCGTCCACAGGCTGAAATTCACACAAAATTCAAAAATATTTGTCTTTATAGTGAATCGGTCATACTGCTTATGCTTGAGTACTGATTTAATTGTACTCGGTATTCGTTGTTTCAATAGCCTCAAGGAGTGTGTGGTTCAGGACCATTTGTTGTTCACCAGTCATGAACAATCCTTGGTCTTCATGTGAATTAAAAGCTGCAAGTTTTGGCCATTCGTCTATTTTGCCTCTGTAACACCTTCACCCTAAGTGACGTCGAGATTTGTGACACGATGCAGGCAGGCTATTCTCCTTCCCCCTCTCTCCTTTTACATAGGAGTCCTGCAAAAAGAAACGATCGTACAACGGATACAGCGACCATAGTCTTTTGCATTTTATCTTTCAGATAGAACAACGCAATAATTATTTACACAAATTCGAAAGCTTGGTTTTAGAATACATAGGAATTTAATCCGATAAAAGTTTTCGTTTGCCTGCAGTGCTGTGCTAGGCTCAGATTTGAGCTTTTTCCTTTTGAGATGTCCAGAGTTCAAAAACTTTATGATGTCTGCTTCCAGCTATTCGCATCTCCAGTAGTTTGGCTGCTTGTGTGATATATTTAACCTGAAATTCTATGCGAAGAATGCACTGTGCACTGTGCACATTTTGCACAGTGATTATGTAGAGTCATAGCTATTTCAGTGTGGGATTTTCGACGGATAATTACAATAAAAGTACTTTTTACATTCACCAATACTTTAATATGCTGATTCTCTGTCAACTGTCGGCTTGCGTCGTAAACCTGATAATGTTAATTGTGCTTCGCTAAGCTCCTTTTTGTGTTGACAATGTGGCAGTAAGAATGTTATCGATATAGCTCATCAACATACTTGGAGTGTGGTCAAAGTCATGTACGCATTTGGCTTCTACGAGACGCACAGTTAGGTTGAGAGCTGTGGGCGATACCGGGAATTTCCCAACAGCGCAGCCTATATGTCTATAGCAAAAATTGATATTAGTTATGTTTTGTTCCGCGCTAAATATAGTATCAGCAGGACATAGAACAGTTCTTTTTGTTAGGCCGCCATCCCTACCCATCCCTTGTGAATGAAAATGCCAAAGTCTACTCGTTTCCTGTTCGGACAAAGGAATGATACTGTTAGCAAAACAAAGAGAATCGTTAAAATGACTGATTACCGGCAGAGCTTTATTAGAACTCTCAAGTAATTTACGTTATCATAGGGAGCACAAACGTTGTAATTCACAGAAATTTAAGGTCGTATTTTGATATGTCCAACGAGACATTCAGTCGCCCACCTGAAGTTGCGTAATCTGCTCGCTTTTGCGTCCGGCCGGCTCAGTGTTCGTTCGGTTGGTTCATACCTAATTTGTTTCACACGCAACATTGTTGGTTCGTTAATCGACCAGTCAATCCTATTCCATGGGAGTATACTTTATGCTTGAAAAGGTTTAATCCAGCTTACCTCGTTGTTTAATATGTATAATTGGTTATTTTTTGGAGACTGGTTTCGTCATCGTTCACGCTTCACGCGCATCACAGGTTGCAAAACGTCTGGACAATGGATATATGATGGATAATGAATGGTGGATCTACATTATTCGTTTAATAACAGGAAGAATTCGGGAAACTGGGTATGCATTTTCAGTGACATTTTCCATTTTTTTAGTCCCAAACCGTTTCATCAAAAGCAATGTTTTATTAGATAGAACAGTCAGCGTATTCCAACCTGAATTTATACAGTTTAAAGGTCACTGATGAAAACGTTG